CTCTTGGATACAAGTTACTTGCCAAAATATATTTGGCATGGGATGCATAAGTTCATTTACAGTGGGAAGCAAACAGTGATTTGAGAGGCCCTCAAAGGCCAGAAAGGTCGGGACCCCGACCCCTAGTCCAGCTTCATTCTGAGAGCAGTCCAGGCAGGGACACCTACACAGCTGTCATGCTGCTGGTGAAAGCCAGCGCTGCCTCTTGCCCCTTTTTTTTCCTCCTTGATCTGTCCATGTGGACACAGGGAAAATAAGAAACTATCCAAAACTAAGTGCTGAAAGTTTCAAAGGAAAGAGACAAGAGGAGAAGCAGTAAGAGGAATCACTCTATACATTATGGAAAACAACAGTACTGCCCATGCTTCTGCTTCTCAAATGGGCAGGTGGGTGGTGAGCCCCATAGCACCCTGTGATCCAGGGAGCAGTGACCCTTGGAGAATTCCACCTGCTCATGGAGCCCATGGCTGCTCAGAGAGACGGGCCCTGGAAATATCCAGATTTTTCAGGTAGGGAAATTTCAGCCTCACAGCTCAGTGAGCAGCAGCTTTGGCCAATGCGGGAGAGAGGGGACCTGATCAGTGTCTATAAATATCTCAAGGAGGGAGTGAGGAGGATGGGGACGGCCTCTTTTCAGTGGTGGCCAGCAATAGGACAAGAGGAAACAGCCACAAACTGAAGCGCCAAAAGTTCCACAGGAACTTAGGGAAAAATTTCTTGACAGTGAGGGTGACAGAGCATGGGCACAGGCTGCCCAGAGAGGTTGTGGAGTCTCCTTCTCTGGAGATCTTCAAAACCCGCTTGGACGCAGTCCTGTGCCACGTGCTCTAGGTGACCCTGCGTGTGCAGGGGGCTGGACTAGATGACCTCTAGAGGTCTCTTCCAACCTTAAGGATTCTATGATTCTATGAAGGTCAGAGGCCCCCTTCCAAGATCTCAGCCCAGGGAAGGCAGGCACGAAGGCTAAGACCCCTCAGGTATGGCCCAGCTCCAGAGGCCTTATTTCATCATTTCTGAAACACTCCACATACCAGCTGTGCAGCCTAGTTTGCCTGTTTTGTCTCCAGCATGCCAAGTTATACCTCCCTTTTAGCCTTCCCAGCTGTGCCGGGCCAAGATTTGGGCCCCATGTTGTGCCTCAACACCCTGAACCGAGCAGCATTTCCCCTTCTCCAAGCAATCTGTGCGAGAGACATACACACTCCTGCCTAACACCTAGTCCTGCAGCACAGCCTGGGCCTCAGCAACCATCTCCTGGAGTCACCAAGAGCAGAGGACATGGAGCATCTCAGCTTCTGAGACAGGTGTTCATGAATCACTAGAAAAGAGACTCAAGAGCAGGGAGAAGACGGTTCTGAGGCCCCTGATGTCAGGAGCAACTGGAGGAATAAGAGGGCTCACAGACATGCAGCCCCCTCTGACAGTGCAGAAGAGGCCCTCGTGTTGAGCCGATCTGCTCCATAAAGTCTTGCTACGACTCGGGTTTTCTCTCTGGGAGCACTTGGTGCCTGAGCCCCTCACCCCCTGCTAACTCTGGGATTCTCCACAGCCCCCTTTTGCAGCAAGAATGGGAATCAACCTCCTCACAGAGCAAGAAGGCGACATGGACTGGTCTCCCTGTCCAGGCACCTTTTCAGCAGCTCAGCTGCCACAAATCAGAAGATCCTGCTAGGAATGTCACCTTCAAAATCACCCTCCTGGAGCTCCAGCTGAACCTGAGAGCATGAAGTGCTGGGGGGGCCACAACTTCAGTAGGCCGAGGCTCGCATTTAATCTTCATCACTTAACAAAAACACAGATACAACAGTTCCTAAACACTGTTGTTTTTTCTTTCTTTCTTTCTTTCTTTCTTTCTTTCTTTCTTTCTTTCTTTCTTTCTTTCTTTCTTTCTTTCTTTCTTTCTTTCTTTCTTTCTTTCT